TATTTTCAGTATCTGCATTGATGTCTCATCATCTGGTAGAGAGCAGTTGCTTCTTCTATTACTCCGGAGTGGACTTTGAGGAGAGCGACATCCTCTTTTTTTTCCCCAGTCTCTGCTGGTGACTCTCCTTGTGTCAATGCAGTCGGCTCCTTGCCTAGGACTTTGGGTGGAGGGGGCTGCAGTCCCCAGCTCCCTGCCTAGGGCCTTGGGCATGCTCTGTGGCCTGCTTCTGGGTGGAGGGCTGCCCAGGATTTAAAATCATAAGTTTTATATATTTGGGTACTCCTGCGCTAAACTGACATTTTAAAAGATTCTGTTAATGACAGCCAAAGTAATTTGTATTAAAAAATAAAAGCTTTGAAAATATATCCATATGTTTTAAGTCTTTGGAGAACTGTTGAGGCCTTGAAGAAAAATCGGGCCCAGATCTATGGAGTATTCAACAGAAACATGGAAGCTGAAACAAGGACAGAAACTGCCAATGTAGAATTTTTACTCAGTAAGTATAGTCTTTAAAAAGGAAGGTGAAATAAAAGTATTTTCAGGGAACAAAAATTTAGGGAGTTTGTCACCATCTGACCTTCAGTGAGGGCAAAAGCAAATGGAATTCTTCAGGCAGAAGAAAAGTGATTCCAGATGGAAGCTCAGAGATACAGAAAGTAATGAAAAGCAATGGAAAGGTACACATGTAGGCAGTCTAAATGAATTGCATCTTGTAGGATTAAGAACAGTGTCATACAAGTGTACTTCAGAAATAAAATATTAAGTCAGAACATACTTGATGCTTGAATTAAGGCTGTATTCAGTGTTTTATTAGAGGTAGGTCCTAGCCAAGAAAATAAGGAAAGAAAAAAAAATGATAAAGATTGGATAAGAAATAAAGCTGTTACCATTTATGTATAACATGGTTCTAGACTTATAAAATCCAAAAGATATCTAGATAAACTAATCGGCCCTTCGTATCTGCATGTTCTGCATTCATGGATTCAACCAACCATAGATCAAAAATATTTGTAGGGAAAAAAAAAAGAAAGAAAATAAGAATACAACAATAAAAAGCAAAACAAATTTAAAAATACAGCATAACAACTATTTACATAGCATTTACATTGTATTAGGTATAAGTAATTCAGAGATGATTTAAGGTATACGGGAGGATGTGCATAGGTTATATGCAAATATTACACCATTTTATATAAGGGTGAACATCCTCAGGTTTTCTTATTTGCAGCAGGGGTGGGATAGGGTCCTGGAACCAATAATCCATTGATACTGAGGGACAATTGTATTAGAATTGATAAGTGGTTTAAAAAGGTTGTTTGACCAACATAAATAGAAATTGTTATTTTATATAGAAACACCCTGCAGAAAATGAGATTTAAAAAGGATATTGGGCTGGCTGATTGGCTCCATTGGATCTCTGTTCTAGCCAGCTGCCAAAAAAAAAATTTACAACAGCATCAAAGAACATTCAATTCTAAGGGAGAAATACAACAAAATATGTATAAGATCTTTACACAGAAAAACTATAAACACTGAAATTTTCATGTTTATGGACTGAAAGAATCAATATTGTAAACATGTCAGTTCTCTCCAAATTATGTTCTTCCAGTGAAATTCCAATCAAAATCTCAGAAAAAAATTTTTTAATGAAAATTGAGCCAATTTAAAAAATAAATATGGGAATGCAAAAGGCTAAGAATAACCAGGATAATCTTAAAGAAATACTAAGTGAGAGAACTTACTCTCCTAGATATTGAGACTTATTAAACAATATCATTCAGACAGTGCAGTCTTGGTACAAAGTTGGAAACACCATGGGAATCAAACCACAAATTCCAGAAACAGATAAGTATTTGGATATTTGATTTTGACAAAGGTGTCACTGCAGAGCAGTGAGGGCAGGACTTTCTTTAATAAACGATACTTTACCAATTGGATATGCATGTGGAGTTAAAAGTCAAACTTTTATTGCTAAATTAAATTTTATCAATTTAAATTGATAAAAAATCAATTCCAAGTAGATTGTAGATGTAAATGTGGGTAAAACAATAAATCTTCTAGAAACAAGTGGGAGAAAATCTTCATGAGTTTGGGTATAGAGATTTCTGTCCACAAAAAGCACTGACAAAGAAAGATAATGATAAACTGGGCTGCAGTAAAGTTATGAAACAATGAAAGATGATTAAAAGAAGGTACAGAGAGGAAGGTGACACTTGAACACATACTGTGTACTTGAACAAAGCTTGTGTCCAGAATAAATAAGGAATTTCTGGAAGTCAGTAAGAAAGAGGCAGAGCATCCATTTAAAAAACAGAAAGAGGGCCGACCCCGTGGCTCACTCGGGGGAGTGCGGCGCTGGGAGCGCAGCGGCACTCCCGCCGCGGGTTTGGAACCTATAGAGGGATGTCTGGTGCGCTCACTGGCTGAGTGCAGTGTGGATGACACCAAGCCAAGGGTTGCGATCCCCTTACCGGTCACAAAAAAAAAAAGAAAGAAAAAAAAACCCAGAAAGAGACCATAAAAGAGGATATCCAGATGACCAATAAATATGAAAAGTTATCACAAAAATTTCAAGTTAAGGCCATGATGATATAATATTAAACACCCTGTACAGTAGCAAAAATTAAGGAAACTAACAATACCAAGTGTTGATGAGGAAATAGAGCAGTGGAAACTGATACACTGCTGTTATAAATTGATACAACCACTTTGTTGTTGTTTTTTTTTTCCCTTTTTGTCTCTTTTTTACTGACCGGTAACGGGATCGCAACCCTCGGTGTCGCGCCCGTACCGGGGACCGGCAACGGGATCACAACCCTCAGTGTCGCGCCCACACCGTGCTCAACCAGTGAGCGGGAACCGGTCTCCACATAGGATCCAAACCCTCGGCGGGAGCGCCGCTGCACTCCCAAGCGCCACCGGGCCAGCCCGATACAACCACTTTGGAAGACTAGTCCCCAATAAGTACTAAAGCTGAACATCTGCAGACTTTATGACACAGGATTTCCACTCCTAGTGATATACTTAACAAAAATGCATGTACATTGTAACCAAGTGACACATATGAGAAAGTTCTCTGCAGCATTATTTTTAACAGCCAAAAGTTGGGAACAACATTTAGAGTAGAATGAATAAATACAATATGGTATATTTATATAATGAAATACTATACAGTAATGAAAATGAACAGACCACAGCTAATATGGATGAGTATCACAAATATAATGTTGAGTGAAAGAAGCTGAATGCAAAAGAATACATGTTGTGTGACTCCATTTATATAAATTTCAGAGACTTTGAAAACTAGCATTAAGAATTAGGATAATAGTTACTTTGGGGGAGTAGGGAAGGAATATTAGATTGGTATGGGACAGAGTGATTTCTGGGTGCTTATTAATTTTTATTGGGTAGATGGTTTTGGATGTGTTTACTTTGTGTTATTTAGCTGTATGACTGTGATTTGTGTATTTTTATGTATGTTTCTGTCAATTCAAAAAATTTAAAGGAACTGACACCTTCTTCTGAGATATATAATGTAGTGGTTACTGCAATTTTTCCATTCATATTGCTTTTTTTCTTTTGTCTTGGCAAAGAGAGGACAAGATGGGATTTTAATTGACTCTTTATTTGTTCCCTTGTGCACTTGTTCCCTCTAATTACCGGCAGCCTAGCTCTAGTGATGGGTACTAGACAGTGGTAGTTTTATATCAAGAGGATTTTGAGACTTATAATTCAGATGGTTACTGGGGCTAAGGCAGCACTACAGTAGACCTCTGAAGTCAACATGGAAGGAAATAATTCCAAGACTTGTAGTGGTCAGGAGCTAGCAACCTAATTTAAATTCTTTTAATGCCTTTACCTTGGTATTTAAAACGTTTCTTTTCCCAAGTATTGTTAAATTAAAATATACAATTAAATTGTAAGTAACATATGTCAGAAATATTCCATTAGTACTAGCATGATACAATGAAAAGAACATAAGCTTTAGAGTTAGACTCAGATTGAAATCCTGGCTTTGCTACTTGCTAGATGTGCAGCTTTGGGTAATTTACTCAAATTCTTTGTGCCTTAATTCCTTCATGTCAAAAGGGGACAATAATCTTACTCAGTGAAAATTCAATGAGATTACTGCGTAAATGGAATAGCTCCCTGTTAGGTGCATCAGAGGTATTGGACTTCTTTCCCATCCTGCTTGCTGGTCCACTAAATAATGTTAGTAAAGTAAGAATCTTTCTGACTTTGGAGAGAATTACAAAACAAAAATTTAGTGTATTTATTCCAGTTTTTTGGTTAAGGTAGGATTTGTAATCTCTGAAGGAAAATGAAGGATTTTTTGTGAATTAATCTTTGACTTATTCTGATAGAGTGATCCAACCCTATTCTCTTTTCTAACAGATTTTTATTATAAAAAATATTTGTTCATTGAAAAATATAAGAATTTATAAGAAAAATTTTAAATTACCCATAACTGTACCACATGGATATAAATGCTTTTAAGATTTTGGTGTGTTTTCTTCCATTACTTGTCTACACATTTTTAAATTGTAGTTTGAGATAAAACCATACATGTGACTTTTGCATCCCCTATTTTTCTCTTAATATGTAAATTTCTCCATGTTATTAAAACTGCTTTGTATTATTTTAGATACCTGTGTACCATTACATCTTAGGGCATATTATAATTTAAGGATTTTACTATCACACACTTAGGGGCTTTCCAGTTTTTTGTCATGCTGTAACAAGCATCTTTTTTGCGTAAATCACCCACATGTAAAGTGATTTCCTTAGGACATATTTAGAGAAATATAATTACTATATCTAAGGGAAAGATACTTTTATGGTTTTTAGATGCATACTTCAGAATTGCTTTATAGAAAAGGTATCAATTTATACTTCTACCAGGAGTATATAAATGAATCAATTTTGTGAAACTCTCATTACCAATGAGTATTACCCATTTAAAAAGTATTATCCAGTTGTTTTTTTTTCCTTTATAGCATTTGTTCAGTGCTCAGCACAGAAGCTTGACCAGACAGAGTAGACGTCGGATGTGTTGTACCAGTAGTTTGATGGAACGTTTCTTGCAGGATGTACTGCGGCACCACCCATATCATAATCAAGAAAGCAGGTAAAGAAGCTGAGTGGAATAACATTAGTACATAGTTATATGTTGCAGTAAATTTTTGTGTTAATGTCTCAATACTACTTAACATGAATCTTTTACTCAAGAAATATAAGTGGTATTTTATCTAGTAATCTCCATTTACGATTTTTAATTTTTCTTAGCCTAGGTAAGAAATTTCACTACAGAAGATATGGACAACTATATGCTTTTTCCTAAATAAAAGTCACTGGCCAGTAAATATATATCAGGGTGTTTTGTAAGTATGTCATACATAACATTAAGCAAGGGAAAAAGTTGGGAGCAAAAATAGTTTTTAAAAGATTAGCGACAGAAAAGCTGGCGACAATAGCAGAGAAAGGATAGTGAAAGTAAAAATAAGTCAGTTCACATTATTAATGGGACTGTTTGCTAACTCTGAGTGGGAGAGGTATCAAATAGCATTGAGTTTTTATAATCTCAGTATCTTGATAGCTTTTTTTTTTTGCATATGTTTTTACTTATTCTCAAGGTAACTAAGATAGGAATGGACAGATGTAGCAATATAACATGTAAAAGTGGCCATTTTAGGCAAAGAAAGTGTATTTAAAGGTTGGCATAGAAAATTGTATTGAAGGAACCCAAAAAGTATAATCTGACTCCTAATCAGTTTGATAACTTTTTTTGTATCAATTTGTTTTGGTTGTTTTAGTACAAATAAATATTTTGATAACATTTAATAGTTAATGTCCTATGTTAAATTAAAACATTGGTAGAAAATCAGATTAAATATTATAGTGAGTTTGTAGCTCCAGATGTACAAGGCAAAATAGATCATTTAGTACATCTCTGCAGAATCAGCTGAGATGTGTACCAGTAGTAGGAAAAGGGATAAACTGCTTTGCAAGTCACTAACCTAGACTTTAGAAATGGTGAAAATGTTTTAAAGGGAAATATTAGAGAAAAAAAAGTGGTTTCTTAGCTGGTGGAAAGATAGAATTAGCCTATCCTAAGGTCAATATACATTTCTGGTTTATAACTCTCATAAGCAGTGCTTCAACTAATGTATCTGTACATGCAACTATTTCTATGGCTTAGGTTCCTAGAATTTGAATTTCTGGGCTAGAGTTCATGGACTGTAAAAAAATATTTTTTTATTTTTTAACTTGTCAGGCTTACAAAAAAATTGCAAACTGATATGAATAACTCTTAAATCACCTTCATCTGGCTTCCTCGAATATTAAGTATAAAATAATCATAATATGACGATCAAAACTAGGAAATTACATTGATACCATACTATTAGCAAATCTTATTTAAATTTGTCAGTTGTCCTACTAATGTCCTTTTTTGGACCATTTAGTTATCACATCTTCTTAGTCTCCTTTAATCTTAAACAGTTCCTCAATCTTTTCTTCTAAGACCATGACACTTTTTACAGAGTACTGGCTAGTTATTTTATTGGATATCCCTAAATTTGGGCCTGCTTGATGTTTTCTCATGATTAAACTTAGATTATGCATTTTAGGCAAGAATATCTCAGAACTGATGTTGTGCCATTTTCAGTGAATCAAATCAGGAGACACATGATGTTGCTATATCTCATTGCTGGTCATGTTAACTTGGGTCACTAGATTAAGGTGGTGTCTGCTGAGTTACTCCACTGTAAAGTTACCATTTTTCCTTGTAATTAATAAGAATCTGTAGCGAAGAACTTTGAGACTATGTACATATCCTTTTTCTCAGCTTACTTTTGCCTACTTATTTTAAGCATCCTTTGATGATTCTTCCCTAAAACAGTTATTACATTTATTAATCAGAATTCTACCATGCAGAAGAGCTTTACTTGTTCCCTAACTTATTTATTCCATTTTTTTTTTTATCTCATTATAGACTTTTGGATATTTCTTTTATTCTGTGGGTTTTAATCTGTTACTGTTTGTTTATTTTGATACTCAAATTGTTTATGGACATTTTAAATCTTTGATAAATGATACTTCCTAGAAGGCCATACCAATTTATACTCACACCAGTAGTGTATAAGAATGCTCATTTCCTATCACTCTTGACAACACTGGAGCTACCAACCTCTTTTTTTCCCCACCTAAAATAATAGGCCAAAAAAGTATATCTCTTAATTAGCCTTTATTTATGCATAAAATAGAACTTTTTTGTGTGTACTTATTTTCCGTATTTTATCCTATGAATTCTTTGTTCGTATACTTTGCCCAAGTTTTATATTGAGTTATTTGTATGTTTTGGATTTGTAAGCATTATTTAAATATGGGTAAGTCTTGTATTTTAAATGTTATATATATTTTCTCAGAATCTGTTATATGTCTTTTAACTATATATGTTCCCTTTTACCATATAGAAAGTAAACATGTTTACGTAATCAGATCTGAGAATTTTCCTTTATGGCTTCATTCATGTCTTTTTTTTCATGCTTTTGTTTCTTCTTTTAAATATTTTTAATTATCATGGAATTTGTTTTTGTATGTGATGTGAAACTGGATTTCTACTTAATTTTTAAATGAATGTATCTCTAATTATCCCTTGTGACATAAAATGTCACCACTTGTAACATAACCTAAATTCCTGTATTTGTGTGTGTGTTGTATATATGAGTATATTTCTGGTTTTGAGTATCATTTTATTCCCTTAATTATTAAAAATCCATGTCAATACTACATTACTATCTTTATAAACTTCCTAAATTATTGGATTTATGGTTTTTTAAAAAAATTCTTTTCTCTTCCCCCCTTGTCTAGACATTGTAAGTTTTTCTATTATTTTAGCTTTCCCTCCATGTCAATACTACATTACTATCTTTATAAACTTCCTAAATTATTGGATTTATGGTTTTTTTAAAAAATTCTTTTCTCTTCCCCCCTTGTCTAGACATTGTAAGTTTTTCTATTATTTTAGCTTTCCCCAAAACCAGCTCTTGCCTTATATTGTTTCCTATTCATTAGTTTTTCTTTTTCCTTAATTTTCTTCCATCTTTTTATGGGGGCAGTTTGTTATTTTTCCATCTTCTTGAATTGGGTGCTCAGTTAGTTAATTTGTGTTCACTAATTCTTTTTTTAATGGAAGTATTTAAAGTATGAAGTTTTCATTATGGCTACATTTCATAGATTTTGATATTTAATTATCTTATTTATAGATTAAAAAATTTTCCTTTTTAGCTTAAAAGTTATATAAAAGAGTGGTCTTTAACCTTTTTTTTTTTCTTTTTGTCTTTTTTACTGACCGGTAACGGGATTGCAACCCTTGGTGTTGTGCCCGTACCGGGGACCGGCAACGGGATCGCAACCCTCGGTGTTGTGCCCGTACCGGGGACCGGCAACGGGATCGCAACCCTTGGTGTTGCGCCCGACCGCGCTCAGCCAGTGAGCGGGAACTGGTCTCCACATGGGGTCCGAACCCACGGGGAGCGCCGCCGCGCTCTCAAGCGGTGCACTCTCCAGTGCGCCACTGGGCCAGCCCGCAACCTTTAATGGTTATATTTTGTTGTTGTAAAGTTAGTTGCAAATGATTAGAAATATGGATTATGATTTAGTTGTTAGTCTTAAACACATACACACAAATACAGATGTAAATCAAAGCATCTAGATAGCAGTTCCTAACCTTTTTGGGATTTTGCGATATTGCCTTATTTTCTGTTTTTCTTTTCTTTGCCAAATGTTGCAAAATTAGTTTTGTTTTGAGAATGTTGTAATAGACCTTAACACAAATGAAGACAGTCCAGGGTTCTGAAAAAAATTAGGGTAAAATGGTTATCACATTGGGATTTTATTGATTAGAGTTCAAAAGTACGAAAAATTATGGATTTTTTTGCCCTGTCATATTATTTTGATATCAGAGATTACTTTTTATTTTCTAAATTCCAAGTTAATATTAATTAAGAAAATAAATTTAGATAGGAGAGAAAGTAACCATAATGCTTATGATACATTAAGAAAAATAACAGCTGCATGTGGCTGACACGTGTGCATGTTCTCTTGGATGAATGTGGCATCTCTCAAATTGAAAAATAATTAATAAAGGTATTTTTAGGTGCTAATCTATTTTTTATTTTTATTTTTTTGTGGACTACTTTTTAGAACAGTTTTAGATTTACAGAAAAACTGGGATGATAGCACAGAAAGTTTCTATAATACCCCTTTACCCAGATTCCCTATTATTAACATCTTATGTTAATATAGTACATTTGTTACAAATAGTGAACTGATACTAATACATTAAAGTCTATAGTTTATTCAGATTTTCTTAGTTTTTACCTAAACTAAGTTTTCCTTAGTTTTCCCTCTTTTTCTGTTTCTTAATCCCACCCAAGATGCCACATTACATTAACTTGTCACATCTCCTTAGCCTCCTTTTGGCTGTGACCATTTAAACTTTTTTATAAAGGTCTAGATATGATGATATTTATCACTTTGAATTGTAGTTATTTTTTATGTGTCTGACTTCTGCTGCTACTCGAATGCTCCTTGAGTGGCAGCTTAGCCTTTGAATTTGCCTTGGCATCTAGCATAGGACCTATTACATAGTATTAAATCCTTAGTAAGTGATTGTTGTATGGCTCAGGTTTTGCCTCTCTGTAATTAAGAATGGTTACCAGAGCGGAGGAGGAGGAAAAATGGTGGACTAATTGGTACAAAATGATGCTATCTACCCTAAGTGAATCAGTGTACAGTATATGCAGGTATTGAAACAACACACTGTACCCCACAACTATGTACAGATAAATGTTAAAATATTTTTAATAATAGATAAAAAGAATTTAAGGCCTAGCAATATCATTAGATTAGTTGGATATATATATATATATATATATATATATGAAAAAATGATTCCTAAAATATTTTGGTTCAAGCCTTGTTGTTGGGAGAAGAGATTCAGTGACTGATTTTAGATATGAAAGTTTTAGATTTTTTAAAAAATAATGCACTTTAGTATTTTGAATGGGAAATACATACATGTAGACATAATTCAAAAAGCACATTCAAAAATGTCTTCCTAATAGTCCTGCCCCAGCCATCCTGTTCACTTTCCTAGAGGTAATAAGTGTGACCAGTTTCTTACATGCCCTTCTACAGATATTCTACGTGTACAGTTTCTTCCCTTCTATTTTATGTAAATGGTAACATTCTATAGATACGTTTCACTGACAATGTTTATAGTAATTGGCTTTTATTAGTACATATAGTGCTGCCTTCTTATTTTTAAAACTTACATTGTATTCCATTAAGTACCATTAGTTAATTAACCTGTACCCTAGTGATGCACATTAAGGTTGATTCCAGTCATTTGCTTTACCCAAAAAAAAAAAAAAAAAATTGCATTGAATATTTTTGTATATTCTTCAGTAATAAACACATGAGAAAACCAAAAGTGGAATTACTGGGTCAGAGGGTTTGTACATTTTTAATCTTAATAGATATTGCCAAACTGCTCTTCATAGAGATTACTAATCTACATTGAGGTTCTAGTAATGTTCATTCATAAAGGTTAGCTAATCTATACTCCTACCAACAATATATTAAAGTGCCAATGTCCTTACACCCTTGCCAAAATAATGTTTAATAACTAACATTTATAAATGCTCATTATGTGCCAGGCTTTTTTTCTTTCTTCTTTTTAATGCTCTTTACATACAACAACTAATTTACTCCTCAAAACAATCTCATGAGGGAAAATATTACTATTCCCTTTTTTCAGAGGTGGAAACTGAGGCATACAGTTGAGTAACTTGTGTCAAACTTTTTTCTATTTACCACTCTGAAAAATGATATGTGGTTTTATTTGTTTTTCTCTTGTTTAGGAGCCATTTGTGTTTATCAAGTAGCAATTGGTGGAGCTACCTCCATCTTCTGCACTTATTACCTTCCTAAAGTACATTCAGCATACACCCTGGTGTGATTGCCTTGTCCTCTATGGATGGTCCAGAATAAAAAGAAAATAACACTTATTAAGCCTTTACTTTAACATTTTAAACAGATATTAGAATATTTTAATGGATTTTTCCCCTTTCTCTTTAGATCAACGCAAAATGAGACACTTTCGAGTACTGTATCATCTCCTGAAGTGGTTCAATTGGATGATGATGTTCCTGAAGAAAAGGCTGAGGATGCTGCTGGAGCTGGAGGAGAGATACCCTCCAAGGGTTCTGAACCTGTTGAAGAGTTACATACCAGGCCTAGTAAATCTCAGGAATGTACACAGCAGGTTTCAATTCGACCATCAGTTATTCAAAAACTGGAGAGGGGACAGCAGCAGCCCTTGGAGTTTGTTCATAAAATTGGGAGCGGTATGAAAAAATTTAATCCAGTAGATATTGGTCAAGCTACAAATAATGGAGAAAACTTAATACGTCCCCCAGTGATTTATAATGCTCCTGCTAGTTGTTTACCTGAAAGTTCTTATGATAGACCAGTTACAACTAATACTACTAAATTACTACTAGCAGCCCATTTGGATTCAGTTAGCAAACGTGACCCAAACCTTGAACAGCTAGACAGGGTCTCTAGACATCCTGTGCCGCCATCCAATCTAGAAACTCCTTCAGTTTCATATCAGAAACCTAAAAAATCAAATAAGAAATCATTATATAAAAATTCAGATAAATTGGCTTTACAGAAAGATGTAAAATCTGAGGGTAAAACTTTGTCAACTGGCTGTAAATCCCGTGAACTTATGGGTACTGAGGGCTCGTTAAGAGTTGAATCTCCTTCTGCATTAGCAGTAAACTCAGCAGTAAATCTGAATAAAGCTGACTTGCCTTCTGATAAAGGAATCTCTGAAGATGCCATTCCAAAGCACCATGAGGAAATCTTTTCTAATGTGGATTGTACTCAAGAAGAAAAGCATTTGGTTTTTAACAAGTCGGTCCTTTTGGAACAGAAGCGCTCAGTGAGTTCTGAAATGAAGCTTGATTGTGGCTCTCTTCAGTCAGCATCTGATCAACCCCAAGAGGCTGTACAGGACTTAAACTTTTGGAAGGAGGAGCAAATTGACCAAGAAGATAGAAACTATGGATCTAGAGGTTCTGAAATGAGTTTTGATTGCAGTTCCTCTTTTCATTCTCCGACTGACCAATCTAAAGTGACTGCCAGAGAAATAAACCTTTCAAAGGAAGTGCATGCTGATTTACAGTATAAGAATAGTAAATCTGGTGTTTCTGAAATCCGTTCAGATTACATTGACTCGCTTCATTTGGTTACGAGCCAATCTCTAGTGGGTGTTAAAGAAATAAGTCTTCAAAATACGATGCGTATTAGCCTGGTTGACGAAAGCTATGAATCCAGTGGTTCTGAAATGAATTTTGATTGTGATGCTTCACTTCAGTCAAATAATGACTACCCCCAACAGTCTGTAAAAGAAATAAACCTTTGTAAGGCAGAGCACATTGCTTTGGTTGATAAGAACTATGGATCTAGTAGCTCTGAAGTAAGTGCTGATTCTGTTTACCCTCTTCAGTCAGTGGCTCACCAACCTGCAGCAGCTGACCAGTCCATAGTGGCTGACTGCCCCGCAGTGGCTGTTACAGAAACAAAACGTCAGAAGAAGATTCACGTTGGCTTGGTTGATAAGAACTATGGATCGAGTTGTTCTGAAACAAGTTTTGATTATGATGTTTCTCTTCAGCCAGTAGTTGACCATACCCAACTGACTGTCAAAAAAAGAAATGTGAAACAGAGACACGTCCGTCTAAAAGATAAGAAACGTAAACCCAGTAGTGTTAAAGCACATCTTGATCGTGATATCTCTCTTGAGACAGTGGCTGATGAACCCCAGAAGGCTGTTGAAGAAATAAATCTTCTGAAAGAGAAGAATGCTGACCTTATGGATATGAACTGTGAGTCTCATTGTCCTGAAATGGGTTTTCACGCTGATGTTCAATTAGTGGCTGACCAATCTCAAGTAGCAGTTAAAGAAGTAAAACCTCAGAAAGTAGATATTGACCTAGAAAATAAGAGTGTTCAATCTAGCGTTTCTAATCTAAGTTTTGATTCTCATGCTTTTCTTTATCAGTCAGCTAATGATCAACCTCAAGGGGCTTTGGGTGAAGTAAATCTTAAAGAGTTAAAGGTTGACATGGAAGTTAAGAGCTGTGGGTGCTCCAGTTCTGAGTTGACGTTTGATTCTGATCCCCCTCTTCTGTCAGTTACTGAGCAGTCTCAGCTGGATGTTGAAGGAATAAAAGAAGAACACATTAACCTGGAAGATGAGAGCTGTGAGTCAAATAGTTCTGAAATAACTTTTGATTCTGATATTCCGGTTTGTTCAGTAGTTGACCAACCTCAAGTAGCTGTTTATGAGGAGGAACCTGTTGATCTGGAAAATAAAAGTAATGAATCTTATGTTTCTGAAATAACTTTTGATTCTGATATTCCTCTTCATTCAGGAAATGATCAACCTGAAGTAGCTGTTAAAGAAGTAATCATTCAGAAAGAAGAGTACGTACACTTAGAAAGGAAGAATCATGAACCCAGTAGTTCTGAAATAAGTTCGGATGTGGATTCTTATACCCCCTTTCGTGCAGTGACTAATCCTCCTGAAGTAGCTGTTAAAAAGCTAAATCCTCAAGTAGAGGAGCAGGTACACTTAGAAAATACAGAAAATGAACCTACTGATTCTGAATTAAGTTTAGATTATGATACCATTTTTCATCCGATGAGTGGACATTCAGAAGATCCCATTAAAGAAATAAACCCTCAGAAAGAAGCGCACGTACACTTAGAAAATAAGGGAGTTTCTGAAACAAGTTTGGATTCTCATACCTCTGTTCAGTCAGTGACTCACAAACCTGAAGTAGTTGTTAAAGATAAATGGCTTCAAAAAGAAAATCATGCTGAATTCCAAGGTAAAAGTGCTAAATTTAGTGGTTCAGAAATAAATTTAGATTCTAGTGTCTCTCATTCAGTGACTGAACCTCAAGTAGCTGTTAAAAAAATAAACATAAAGAAGCAGCATGTTCTGAAAAACAAGAGTGATACATGTGGTGGTTCTGAAATAATTTTGGATTCTGATGTTCCTCCTCAGTCAGTGACTGAAAAACCTCAACTGGCCATTTCGAAGGAAAAGCATGTTGATCTGGAAGACAAAAACTGTGAATCTAGTGATGTAAAAATGAGTTTTGACTCGGATGACCCTCTTGAACAACTTCAGGAAGGAGTTAAAAAAATGCACCTGTGGAATGAAGAAGATATTAGCCTAGAAAATAAGATTGATGAACCTAATGCTTCTAAATTAATACATGATTCTGATGTTTCTCTACAGTCTCCAACTGATCAACCCAAAGTAGATGTTAAACAAATAAACCTTGAGAGTAATGATCATATGTATTTGGAAGTTAAGAATCGCCAGTATAGTTGTTCTAAAATGAGTTTGGATTCTGATTTCTTGGTTCAGCCCGTAGTTGATCGACCTCAAATAACTATTTTGGAGCGGGAGCACATTGAACTAAAAGGTAAGCACAGTCAATCTTGTGGTTCTGAAATAAGTTCTGATTCTGATGGCCCTGTTCAGTCAGTGGCTGACCAGCTTAGAGAAACTGTTAGAGAAATAAGCCTTTGGAAGGATGAAGAAGTTGACATGGAAGATAAGAGGGATGAAGCTAAGGGTTTTGAAATTATATATGATTCCGATGGCCATTTTCAGTCAGTGGCTGGCCAAGCTGAGGTAGTTAAGGAGGTCAACCTTTGGAAAGAGCATGTTGACTTGGAAGATAAGATTATCAAACCTAGAGATTCTAAAATAAATTTTCATCCTGCTGAACCTCTTCAGTCTGTGACTAATAAAATCCAAGAGGCTGGTAAAGAAACAAGTCTTCTGAGGGAGGAACATGTTTGTCTGGATGGTAAGGGCTATGAACCTGATCATTCTGAAATAATTTTTGTTTCAAATATCCCTCTTCCGTCAGTGATTGGGCAACCACAAATTTTGGAAGAGGAGCATGCCAATTTGAAAAATAAGAGCAGTGATCCTTGTGGTCCCGAAATAAGTTTTGATTCCCATGATCCTTATCAGTCAGCAGCTGACCAGCTTCAAAAAGGTGTCAAAGAAATAAATCTTTGGAAGGAAGACCGTATTTACTTGGAAGATAAGAGCTATAAACTAGGTGATTTTGAAGTAAGTTATGGTTCTGATGTTCCTGTTCAGTTTGCGGCTGATCAATCTCTTGTGTCTGTCAAAGAAATAAATTTGCAAAAGAAGGATCATAATGACCTAGAAAATAAGAACTATAAACCTTATGGTTCTGAAATAAAATGTGACTATGGTGTTCATTTTCAGTCAGTAGTTGATCAACCCCAAGTGGGTTGCAGAGAAACAACCCTTCAGAAGGAACGGCACCTTGGCATGGAAGAAAAGACTAATGAACTTAGTGATTCTGAAATATGTGATTCTGATGTCCCTTTCCAAATAGTAGTTAACCCATTTCAAGCATCAGCCAAAGAAACAAATCTTCAAAAGGTGGTTCTTGTGGACCTGATGACCAGTGATAGTGATTGTGAAGTAATTTCTGAATCTGTTATGCCTCTTCATTTAGTGACTGACCCACCCCAAATGACTGTCAGAGAAACCAACTGTATAGATGCAGGATGTATTGATGTAGAAGATAAGATCTGTGATTCATTTGATTCTGAAGTAGGATATGTTTGTGAAGCTCCTTTTCCATCAGTGACAAACCAATCCAAAGAGACTTTCAAAATAATAAACCGGAAGAAAGACTATATTATTCTGGGAGATTCAAGTTGTCAGTCTTCTGAAATTAATTTTAATGTTGATGCCTCCTATCAGTCCATGACTTACCAGTCACAAGGGCCTGATAAAAAAAAAGTGAAATATATTGACCCGGAAGATAAGAGCTGTGAATCTAATGGTCCTGAAAGAAATTTTAAATTGGAAGATGCTTCTCAGCCAGTGACTCGCCAACTGCAGAAAGCTGACAAAAAAGTCAACCTTCGGAAAGATCCAAAAACTATTGGCCTAAAAGATAAGAGCTGTGAATCTAGTGTTTCTGCAGTAGATTGTGATTCCTCTTCTGAGTTAGTGATCCATCAAATGGCTGATAAAGAAAATCCTTTGAAGTTAAAACATACAGATCTAGAAGGTATGAGCAGTGAATCTTGTAGTTCTGAGATGAATTTTCATTATGATTCCTCTCTTCATTCTGGTACTGAACAGCCTCAAGAAGCTGTTAATAAAATAGACCTATTTAATAATGTGTCTGTTAGCCTGAAAGAAAAGAACCATAATACCCAAGCAAGCTCTGTTCCCTTGGTTGATTCTGTAAGGAAGCTGGAAAAAGCAAAGGAGGTCATAGAAGATGATCCTGATGAACCAGTTCTTGAAGCCTTGCCTCATGTTCCTCCTTCATTTGTGGGGAAAACATGGTCTCAGATAATGAGAGAAGATGACATAAAAATTAATGCTCTTGTGAAGGAATTTAGGGAAGGTCGTTTCCACTGTTACTTTGATGATGACTGTGAGACCAAAAAAGTTTGTGTGAATGAAGGAAAAATTACCTGTGCTGATCAGGACAGTGCATCTATTCAAGCTCTATCAGATTGTGATGTTATTGCAGGCGGTATTTCGGATATTGATGACTTTTCAATGGCCTTAGATAAACCATACCATCATCATCCTCCAGCAGAGAGTCATACGGCTTCTCGATGCCAGACTTTAAAAGTCAGCCATGGAACTGAAACTGGCTTTAAGAATAACCCAGTGATGAAAAGAAAAATGATTAGACAAGAAGATGACTCGCCAAGAAGGAAGCATTTACATTTACAGAATGACAGAAAAACAAAAAAGAAAGTAAAATTTGGGACAGCTGAATTTCCTGCGTCATGTACTAAAGTCTTGAAGCCCATGCAATCCAAAGCTTTAGTCTGTGTTCTTTCTTCTCTAAATCTTAAACTGAAAGAAGGTAATCCCTTACCCTTTTCTAAAATGAGGCACTGTAGTTGGGATAATGATATACGGTTTATGTACAAATATAAACGGAATACTTTTAATTATTGCAACCCATTGATTAAGCAAATTGTAATGAATCCTCCACTGAACATAATAGTGCCAGAGTTTGACAGGCGTAACTGGGTTAAAATTCATCTTAACAGAAGTGATTCCAGTGTAAGAGATAATGATGCTGTTGTACAGAGCTCTTCTTCAGCACCTTCTATGACAGTGCCAGCAAGATATGAATTAAATTCACATCATGGGACTAGTGATTCTTCTGTGTTTCTCGAACAATCAGAGGTTTTGAATGCTAGTGCAGTTCCAAAGGAAAGTAATTTCAAGCTAACTCCTTTAAATCATGATGTTGCTCAGATCTCTCCAAAATCAGTTAGAAAGGAGTTTTTAGAAAGTACAAGTAAAAAGAAAATTCAGGGAAGGAAGGTGACAATTAGTAATAAGTCAGGTTTTTCTAAAACGGTTTACAAACCAATTATTCTCCGGCAAAAAAACAGAATAGCTTCAGAAAAACAGTCAGTTTGGATTCGGACCAAACCAAGTGACATAATTAGAAAGTATATTTCGAAATACTCTGTTTTTTTGCGTCATAGATATCAGTCCAGGAGCACTTTTATTGGAATGCATCTTAAGAAGAAAAAATCTGTTGTCAGTAGGCTAAAGAAAGCAAAGAGACCAACTAAAATGCTTTTGAACTCCTCAGTTCCACCAGCTGGTGCTGAAGAGGAGTTAAGAGCTATAGCACGTCCTCCTCCGAAGCAAGCTGTGCAGGATTCTTCCAGTGATGCAAGAAGGAAGAAGAAAGGTAATAAAACATGCTGTAACAAAAAGAAAAAGCCTTCTAGACCCGTTAGAGCATATGATTTGAGAAGTTCATGTTACATACCAGATTCTGATAGAATGATGACTCGGCTAGCAAGCAAATTGAGACTTGAGGTAAAATACTGGTAGAAGTTTTTGTGTTTAAGACTAGTTGAGGATTCAGTACTTCAACTGAAATATATTTGGTACTTAGTGCACATAGCTTTCCCAGCTTTGATGGAAAAACTAACCTTGAACTATTTTGCTATAGATATTATTTTTCAGAACTTTTATATTCATTTAAAATCAGTGTTTAGGGTCCTTTATATTTTAAGATTTGAAAGCAACTTTTGTTCAGCATTTTCTGTAGAAGAGCTTCATCTTAATGTCTTAGTTTGTCATAATATAATTTAACACAGTATGTAGAATTTTGTCACTCAAATTGTGTCCCTCTATTTATTTTTTATGATTATTTCATATGCCAGCAAATTATAACATTGTGAGAATGAATATAGCAAACTTATTAATGCTATCTTAGTATCACTTTTTAAAAATTGGAACAAAAGCATATACACCTGCATTCTGTGTGTTTCGGAGTGGCATTGTCAATATAGTGTTCTGACTGGATAATTAAAAAGTAGGAATTATAATGAATTATCTCAACTTTTGAATGGTATTGACTTAAATGATCACAAACAAAATGTAATTTATCTTTCTTTTAAAAGCATTCCAGAGAATGAGATTCCGTGATCTTTAATACAGTTTTTATAAACTGCCTGTGATTTATACACATAGAACAAACTCCTGCTTCATTGAATTTGGATCTGCAAGTCTGTCTAATTTTCCTCATTTGGACACATACAATCTCTGTAGGTTTTTCTTTAGCATTATCAGATCTTAAGGGGAAAATGATTTTGCAAGTGGGCTTAGGCTTTTTTTCCCCCCAAAACTACCTTTACTTCCCCCTACATGAGAGTTGATGGTTTAATATGATGAAAGTCCAGACTATTTTATGGCCTCATCTCTTAAAAATATTTTAGACATTACCGTATCATTTTTTAATAGCTTGAACTGAAAGTGTTGGTTTGGTAATATTATTTTGGCAGGCCATTAATTGTATTAATAAATTAGTTATAATTTTAATATTTCAAAAAATTGAATAAAACTGGTAACTTAAGTGTAGGCCCATTTTGCAAGTGAAAAATCACTTGTACGTTAGTTTGTCTTAAACTCGCTAACTGATTTTAATAGTTTAAATAAAAGATGTTAATATATGCAGTATAAGTCTGGAGTACTCAGAATATTTAGAGCCTTTATTCAGGACACTGGTTGAGCTGGTGCAGATGCATCCAATTATCATGGTAAGCCAAGATCCTAGATCTTTTTCTATCATTAATGTTATGGGGAAACATGAATTTCAACTATATCATACAACTACCATATTTACTGAAACTAGGGTCAATGGTAAGATGTATCTTGATTTCAGAGATAAAAATGTTTCTTTAGAATTAATGAAATACAGTATAGCAGTTGGTTTCTAAATGTGGTTTTATTTCAGGGGCCATTATTTAACCTGTGGGTATGTTATGTTATAATTTCATTACTTCTAAACTTAAACAGTAATAATGTTGGGGAAAAATGAGCAAATGTTTATAGTTTTTGTTGCAAAGCAGCATATACAGCATTTCCTTCAACCTTGCCTGCTCATATGCAAACAATTAAATTTCTTTTTTAAAACAGTGGTGTGGCCCACTAGTTCAAAATAATTCTCTAATTTTAATTTAGGATGAAAGCTCTGTCCTACTGATTAGGAAGTAAACAAACAGCTAATATATAAAAATACTCAGTAGGTATTGGTGTCTTTTTTCCCTGTAGAATAGACATGTAGTTCCCTTAAGTACTATTAATAGACATCCTGCATTCTTTCAGTGTAAGTTTAAAAGCAAGAGATCTTATGAAAATAATGTACTCTGTAAATATGATTTATCATATCTATTGTGATTACATTATACAGAGAGGACAGTTCTTATTATAATTCAACTGATCAAAATTTAAAGTAAGAATAATGCTACTACCTTTTTCCCGTTGGAAACCTCTTTTAAGTACCATTTTGACAGGGGTCAGGGAAAAGGTTTATATTTAAAATTTATATTACCAAAAATATAAAAGTATAATATAGTACCAATGATTTTGTTTAACATTTTGGAAATGTTTACTAAGGTCTTGTAATCATTATTATTTTAGACAAGCTTGAAAACTTGACATTGTAAAATCAGTTGCTTTCAGAACTCAGTAGGATACAAGATGTGCCCCTTTGTCCAAATAAATTTTGGCTTAATTTGCAGATTAGATAAAAACAATTGGATGTTTTTGCATATTCAGGAATGCACTAAATTCTTTTAATAGTAAAAAATCAAATTACAGCCATAATGAATATTTTATTAATCTTGTCCTTGTTCAGTATCTTGCATAGATTTTTATTGTAATTGTCCTGAGTTATACAGTATGTGGACAGTATTGTGTAAAGTGTGTTTTTGCATTTGTGCATTTAAATTATTTGTGTAACTAGGGCTCTGAATAACACTTTTTTTTTCTTTTGGTTAAAGAAAAATTATATTTAAATATTCAAATAATTATATATTTCCATGTGAAACTAATGTGAAGACTAATAATGTATTTTTTATAATGCAATTTAAAGGGTAAACTTGTTTTTGAAGTAATCAAGATAAAATTTATTAAATATTGAAATTTGTCTCTACTCTCTCCTCATCTTAGAAACTTTTTCTGGGAATACTTAAAGAATCAGAGAATAATGAAAACAGAAGTACGTTTTATAAATAGCCCAAGAGTTAGTAAATAAGAATATACACATAAGTGTTGATACTGGTGAGAAAATAGCTTAACCAGAGATATACAGGTTATATTCAATGCAGTAGTTATTTCAAAGGATTAAAATTAAACTACTTATTTATCCACTGGATTGGTGGATCAGCAACTTTTCACTTTGTGTACCTGTATTGGAATGGTTTGTGAACAGGATTGAGTTCAGTAGGCAGTATCTATATCAGTATTCGATACCTACTGGGAAGGGAGAACTTTGGTACCTCCAATACCATAGCCCATGTTATAAAAGATAAGAAAACATGGAAGAGTGTACATAAGTCATAGAGTTAGGTGCCTTTGTCTCCAGTAGTATTGACTGCAAGGGAATTGAAAGTCAGTTGGTCCAGGATGTTATTGTCATGATGAACAACATCCTGTTCTTTGTAATTAAAAATTACCAGAGTAAAAATGAAAAGTGGAAGTTCATTTTCAGTAAAGTAGTATTTTTATGTGAAGAAAATATGGAGATTACTGAAAAATTATGTATTTAGGGAATTACAAACTAAAATGTCAACCTGTGACGGGGGTATGGAGGGAGGATAGGGAAGAGTCTTAGCATTTCCTTGTACTTTATTTGGACTCCAGATATTAGGGGAATAATAAGATAATTTAGTACATTTCCTGTTGTTCTTATATTTTATATGTGTATTTTAAAGGTTCTCTCAATGTATTTTAAGCTATTTACCTTGATTAAGAAATAGGTCTAGGATGAAATATAGTTTGTTGCTGAATCTTTCAATAACTATAAACTTACACATTTTTCCATGTTTATAATTTATTACATGCATGTTGTAATAAATTTATTTCCAGGTTTATTTTAATAAACCTTAAAATATAAATTTATTTTCCAGGTTTTTCAAGCTCTGTGTGTGTGTGTGTGTACGTACATCTTGATCCCTTACTGAGTGCCAGATGTGGTTCTGAGCTTTTAACCTGTATTATCTCATTTGATCTTCAAAGAACCCTTATGAGTTAGTTACTGTAATTGTCATTGTATATCAGATGAGAAAACTGAGGCATAGAACAGTCTACAGTTAATCCCCATTCCCACCCCCAGTTCCAGGCCACCACTAATCTACTCTCTTTATAGTTTAGCTTTTTCTGGATATGTCATATATGTAAATGAACTATAAAATATATGTTCCTTTCTGTCTGGCTTCTTTCATTTACCATGATGTTTTTGAGGGTCATCCGTACAGTAGCATGTATCAATATTTTGTTCCTTTTTATTGCTGAGTTAATGAAACTGGTAACAGAACTCTGGTCTCCTGGTAACAAATATGATAAATTCTTTTGGTTTGAGGCTAGCTGTTCTCTTTATGCTTTATGTACTTGTTATCCTTGATTACTTCCCAAAGCCAAGACCAAACAGGATATTGCCTTTTTGAGTGCTCTGTCCCATGCTTGAATGCTCTGTGCTTTCCTCTGTCTTTGACTCTGTCCCTGGTTTGAGGCTAGCTGTTCTCTTTATGCTTTATGTACTTGTTATCCTTGATTACTTCCCAAACCCAAGACCAAACAGGATATTGCCTTTTTGAGTGCTCTGTCCCATGCTTGAATGCTCTGTGCTTTCCTCTGTCTTTGACTCTGTCCCTTCACTCCCCATCTTCATATTCTGTTCCCTGTGCTCTGTGAATTCTGATTTCATTGTCAACATATTACCCTGTGGTCTCAATCCTTTCACAGTGGATTGCTTGCAGGTAACTGAAATCTGAGAATCACATCCAAGTTGGCCATTATTCTAATCTACATGAGCCACAGAGCCAGGAAGTGTTGATGGAGTACTCGTTGTGGTGAACACTTCTTAAAATTACTCTCCTATATAACCATGGTGTTACACCATCGAAATCAGGAAAACATTGATCTAAACACTGATCTATCTACTCCACAGACTTCACTGAGATTTTGCAGATGGTCCTACAGCATCTTTTAGAAGTCCAGAATTTGATCCAGCATCATAGACTGTCATGACTCTTTAGTTTTCCTTCAGTATGGAGCAGTTCCTCATTCTTTGTTTGTATTTAATAGCATGACATTTTGAAGATAACAAACCAGTTTCTTTGTGGAATGTTTCTCAGTTTGAGTTTGGTGTTTCTTTCTAATGATGGCTTTTTTGGGGGGTGGGGTGGGGGGAATTCTTTGTTCTTTTCAGTGTATCATGTAACATCAGTTTGAATAAATGTGGTGATAGAAGAACCGGTGTTGGTCCTTATCTTAGGGGAAAGCTTTTCATAATTAGATAAAAATGAGGACTCTCAGAGAGATTGCATTATCACCAGATATTTACAATTTTTTACAACTAAGTTTTGTGGCAGTTGTGACTGTGAGGATTTTATCTGTTATGTTTATCGTCTAAGTCATCATAGATAAGACAATAGCTTATTTATACATTTAACAAATATTACTTCTACCCCTATCACGTGCCTGGCCCAGTGATGGGTGCCAAGGATCCAAGCATCAATCAAACAGGCCTCTTGTTGCTCTCCCTCATAAACTGATATGAGTAGAAGGGAATTTCAGTAGCGGTAAGTCAGTGGACTTGCAACATAATTCTTATGCTTTCAAAAGGTCATTAATAAACCTGTATAGATAACACATGGGATACTGCTACTTGGTACTGAAAAATTCCTCAACTTTCTGCGTTGAGACCCATAACCTGGAAAGATTGTTTTCTGTGTCTGTTATGAATAGTCTTTCATGTGTTGGTTTGATACCAGGATAAAGTGTTACATAGACTTACTTATCCATCTTATCACAGCACAAAAACAACTTCCTAAGAATAAGTTGGTATATTCATCATATGTTTAGTTTTTGAACTGGAATAATAGAGGGTGTTTTTTTTTGAAGAGTTATTATTATTGGTTACAGATAATGAAATAAGTAAAGTAAGTGATGTTCATCATCCATTGAGCTGAAACTTTTTTATTAGGTGATTATCTGAAAATCTGAGTTCTAACATGGTTATTTCACTGTACCAGATGGTAGCCTAGCAACTGATTATAACTGCTGTTTTACACAGTGGCTTTCTTAGATTTAGGTTATATTTAGGTGAATATTTGAGGTAGCATTTGATGCCTCTGTAGAATCAGAGAAACCTGATTAACCCTGATAACTGGTAATTTTCAGGTTTTCATACTATGCTTGCTACTTAACACATCTGTAACCTAGCAGAGCTACAAAGTTTCTCTTCTTTTTGTTCCTACAGAGAAAGAATCTCAAGTCTAACTTAGAATGTTGCATGACAGTGTGTGACCGTCTTTTGAGGAACACATCACAGTAACCCCAAATTGCCCAGCGTAATCAGTAACAACTGCCAGGTGGCATTTGGAGCCAGAACATTTCTTCGACTGTACTGGATGATCATGTAGGATCTGCCAGAACATGAGGATGTTTATAAGTGGCTGAATAAAAGCAAAACTAAAATATGTATGAGTTCCTGTTGAATTAAGGATGTTGATGAGAATTATTTTGAAGAAAAATGGCCACTACATTTTAAGTGCTAATTTAAGATGACTGGCTTCCTCTCAGATATTGTTGACTATACTGTTTCTATATGATGTGGTTTAAGTTATGTAAAGTTAAACTTTTTAGAATAGGTATATTCTTTTTTCTACGTTCTTTTCAGTAATGAAATAGCTAATTTCACTTGCCATAGGTGAAGCTGTGGTAAAAAATTCTTTAGTTATGTGCAGGTGTGTTGTGGCAATGGATCTTTTATATAATAACAGTGTAAGTGTTTAATGTGTTTTTAGTACAGATTCTGTGAGTTAAAATTACTGTATGGAATGGTCGTGAAGCCTGATTTCCTTCCTCAATTCCTGTCTCGTGGAAAAATATTCTGATTTAGTCCTCAATATGTGACCTATCTTCCTCTTGGACATACAGAAGTGTTTGCATTATATAGTACTTAGGGCTTAGCATTTCATGCCAAAGTGATTTTCTTGTCTTTCTGCACCACAGTAAAATTTTATGGAAAACAATTTGCTTGAGATACCAGTGCCTGCTGATAAGTGGAGGCACTGAGAGTTCATCCTAAGTAAAGGAAGAGGGGCCATTCCTTAAGTAAAATTCATTCTGCCCGTGAATTGGCCCAGCCTCCAAATGTACATAATGCAGCTGGGTTAGGGAGAATCACACAGTAGACTTAGCAGCATTTCTGTCTCCTCACTTCTTTCTTGGCACCATATTCCAATACAAAGTTGTATTACTTAAAATTTGTCCCACATTGGTTGTCTCTACTCCTGTGGCTACTAAACTAGTCTTGAACTTCATCATTTCACACCTAATTTATTCTAGAAGAGGCTAGGGTTTCTGGAATGATGTAATGAGGTCCTCTGTAAATCTGCTCCTCCATGATGTTGCAATCATCTGGTCCCTTGTGTTTTGGGTCGTCCTTTCTGTTGTGACAAAGATCACAGGGAGCTGGAGCTTTTGGCTACCCTTTGTCTATGTAAGTAATAAATTGTTTAAATGTAAAAAGGGCTCGTGTGTCTCTCCTGGTCAAATGTGTCAGCCACATCTTGGTCTGGGCCTTTCTTGCTGCTGTGTACTTTATAGGACCCTAAATCCAGAGTGGGAGTCCTCTCAACCCAGACCTGTGGAGTGCCTCTCTCTCACCTGGCTGTGTCTCCTCTCCTCTGTGGGACTTAGCCCACAGACTTTGAAGTCCAGATGCTGGTTATTTCTCCTAGATAGCTTTTAATTTTCAAAACTTTGGTGTGGGGGTGTGAGTCATTTTGTTTTTTCCATTTCCAGCGTTGGGCAGAAGAAGGTCCTGAGATGGATGAATGAATGGGGCTTTTATAGGCGCTGTAGCCAACAATACAAATTGAGATCATTAACGAGCACTTGCATGGTGTTACGTAGAGGCCCATT